TCCTCCAGTTTCATTTTCCCTTACCTGAAGATTGCAACAACATATCATAGTTTTGGGGAAATCGGTAATCTGGCATATTAAGTAATTTTAACCAATAGTTTATACAATTTTTATAAGCGGGGGCGGTTGGGTAGCCTAATGGTTAAAGCGTTGGCTCGACCCGGGTTCGAATCCCCACATGGGCACAATGTGTGAAGCCCATTTCTGGTGTCCCCCGCCGTGATGTTGGTGGAATATTGCTAAAAGCGGCGTAAAACCAAACTCAGTCAGTCAGTTTTATAAGCGGTTATATAGAGAGGGTATCTACCACTTTCTCCTGTAGACAGCATGAGTGAGCACGATGCCAGTTTGTAGCGTGTAATGATTGAAACGTTGGTTGGTAGGTTTGTTGTTTAACGCCGCACTCAGCAATATTCCAGCTATATGGCGGCGGTCTGATTGAAGCGTAATGATCGTAGAAGTTTTATCAGGATGGTCTAGATATTCATGTATCGTCTGGCACTGCAATAAAATAATCACAAACGTGTACAGTATTTTCCTGTTATTATTGTTTCAGAACAATCCAAGTTCCCCTGACCAGGGTCCATTTGCACAAAGCGACCTTAGCGCTAAGTTGGTTGGTTGGTTGTGTATCGCAGCACTCATACGAGACACTGCTGATGGTTACTTGGGTTTGTTTGTTTGTTGGTTGGTTCACGCCGCTATCCCAGCTATATGGTGGTGGTCTGTAAATAATCGAGTCTGGACCAGACAAACCAGTGATCAATAGCAGTATCGATCTGCGCAATTGGGAACCGATGACATGTGTCAACCAAGCCAGCGAGCCTGACCATCCGATCGCCTTTTACGACAATCATGTGTTACTGAAGAGCAATTCTAACCCGGATCTTCACGGGTTCATAGCGCCAAAACTACCTGAAGATCTTCGAGCTACGCTGATCTCAACTCCCATACCAAACATACGCTTGGGGTAGTCTTAGCGCTAAGAATTCCTCAAGTCTGTTTTTCATATGGGAGTTGTCATCAGCGTAGCTCGAAGATCGCGAAGTGAATGCGAAGTGCGGTTTATGCTCTTCTTTTACAAACCACTTTCAACAATATTGAAGTCAGATCAGTGCACGTGTCCTAATGCGGGAGGAAAGCCCGAAGTGATGCAGGTTGTCATGGTAACTGAAGACACGTACATGTATATTACTTTAAACAACAATAGTTTCAAAAACAGACAGCCAAAGACATGTCACAATAACTGGTTTCCATGTTATCATCGGTACATACTGAAAACTTTACACGCACACACTTGAGGTGAAGAGGATCTGCAAGAGGTTGCAGGAAGTGCCAATCTTCTTAGTGACGTAAATTGGTCTAATTACGTTACTGTTCTACTCTATCTTCGTACAGGTGATTTACATCAAAGCAATATCAGAATCGTTTGACAACCATTAGCAACGAGGAAGGGTTCATATAATAGATTTTTATCAGTTACTGTCGTAACACAAAGTGCATCTCAGTGGTAGGGCAGGTGAATATACATATCTATGGCTGACGTCTTACAGAGGATGGTATAGGGTCACGGTTGATCATGTCTTTGGTGCATAGAGTTGCGTCCTTTCCCAATACCAGGATCCGCTCATTGTTGAAATGCTACATAGATTATTACCTTTGGTTTGTTAGCGTTATATCCATGGACTGGGTTTCATAGAAGTTGTATAGATCTGCGTAAAGTCATCCTCTAACATTCAACTGATGCCCAATGTTGCAACCCATATGCTGTAAAGACCGGCGGTGGGGTAGCCTTGTGGCTAAAGCGTTCTCTCGTCACGCCGAAGACCCGGGTTCGATTAACCACATGGGTACAATGCGTGAAGCCCATTTCTGGTGCCCCCGCCGTGATACTGAGGGATTATTGCGAACCTGCGTAAATCCATACTCACTCACCCACTCGCTCACCGTAAACAGCTCAGTTGAACGACTCGCCCACTTCGCTGCATCTATGGATTGTCTCCATTGATCATTTTTCTTAGCAGAACGAATGGGTAATTACAAAGCTGAGTGACAATCTATTTAGTTCACGTAGACATGGTAATAATCTGGACCACACAAGAATGCAGAGGATAAAAGTCCATGACACACTCAAATAGATCCCAAATTCTAACAACACCTGCTGTGGTGTAACCTAGCTGTTTAGTGTTCGTTCATGCGGAAGGCCGTTACGATTCATTACATGGCTACGCGTGAAGGCCATTTCTGATGTCCCCTGTCGTATATTGCTTGTCCCCTGTCGTATATTGTTTGTCCCCTGTAGCATATTGCTTGCCCCCTGTAGCATATTGCTTGTCCCCTGTCGTATATTGCTTGTCCCTGTTGTATATTGCTTGTCCCCTGTAGTATATTGCTTGTCCCCTGTAGCATATTGTCGTTGTGCCCCTGTGTATATTGCTTGTCCCCTGTAGTATTGCTTGTCCCCTGTCGTATATTGTTTGTCCCCTGTAGCATATTGCTTGTCCCCTGTAGCATATTGCTTGTCCCCTGTCGTATATTGCTTGTCCCCTGTCGTATATTGCTTGTCTCCTGTTGTATATTGCTTGTCCCCTGTCGTATATTGCTTGTCCCCTGTCGTATATTGCTTGTCCCCTGTAGTATATTGTTTGTCCCCTGTAGCATAGTCCTGTTATTGCTGTTGTATATTGTTTGTCCCCTGTCGTATATTGCTTGTCCCCTGTGTATTGCTTGTCCCCTGCGTATATTGCTTGTCCCCTGTAGCATATTGCTTGTCCCCTGTAGTATATTGCTTGTCCCCTGTAGTATATTGCTTGTCCCCTGTAGTATATTGCTTGTCCCCTGTAGCATATTGCTTGTCCCGTCGTATATTGCTTGTCCCTGTTGTATATTGCTTGTCCCGTCGTATATTGCTTGTCCCCTGTAGTATATTGCTTGTCCCCTGTAGTATATTGCTTGTCCCCTGCAGTATATTGCTTGTCCCCTGTCGTATATTGCTTGTCCCCTGTTGTATATTGCTTGTCCCCTGTTGTATATTGCTTGTCCCCTGTAGCATATTGCTTGTCCCCTGTTGTATATTGCTTGTCCCTTGTAATATATTGCAAAAAGTATCATGTAAAACCAGTCACTCACTCAAATCATGCCGCTCAGATACTAGACTCCCATCTATTAGCATCATTTAATGATCCCTGCATCTGATGTAAAATATTTCTGGAGTCTTGTAAACATGTCTGTGTGAATGCTTATAGCTCTTAACATGTGCACTAAGATGATGGAGTCCATTAGCCTGCCACCAACCTATTAGTGGGGAAATGTGCATATATTTATGAACCTAATCAGTGGTCTTGCAGAAAGATTGTTTGCTTGTTCATTGTTCAAGGTTCATCTCCGCACCCTTGATACATCCCGTAAATATCTGCGTGGGGAAACGTTGGTTGGTTATGGTTTGACGCTGCAGTCAGCAATATTCCAGCTATATCGTGGCAGCCTATAATAATCGAATCTGGACCAGACAATCCAGGGATCAACAGCATGAGCATCGATCTATGCAATGGGGATGCGATGACATATGACGTGTCAACAAAGCCAGCGAGTCTGACAACCCGATCCCGTTACTTCTTACGACAAGCATGGGTTGCTGAAGACCAATCCTAATCCGGATCTTCATGGGTGGACAATCCATGGATCAACAACATGAGCATCAATTTAGCATTTGGGATGCAATGACATGTGTCAAGCATGAGTTACTGAAGGCCAATTCTAACCCGGATCTTCACGGGTCGATCCCGTCTTAAGACAAGCATGAGTTACTGAAGGCCAATTCTAACCCGGATCTTCACGGGTCGATCCCGTCTTAAGACAAACATGGGATACTGAAGGCCAATTCTAGCCCGGATCTTCACGGGTCGATCCCGATCTTAAGACAAGCATGAGTTACTGAAGGCCAATTCTAACCCGGATCTTCACGGGTCGATCCCGTCTTAAGACAAGCATGGGATACTGAAGGCCAATTCTAACCCGGATCTTCACGGATGGAGTCAGGAAAGGGCAAACCAGTGACTGATATTGTGAGCATCCACTTTAATACAAGCAAGACACTGAACGTGACTAATAGCTTCATAACGTCGTCCCATAGGAACCAATTGTAACCAGGAATCACTACAGGTTCTTGCACAGGTGCACTTTCAGTGAATGAGTGAGTTTTAGTTTTAGGCAGCTGTTAGCAATATTCCAGCACTAACACAGTGGGTTACACCAGAAATGGGCTTCACACAAATTGTACCCATGTAGGGAATCAAACCTGGATCTTCGGCGTGACAATCGAACGCTTTAACCACTAGGCTACCCTAACGCCCCTGTACTTTAGACTCTAGGATGAGGCACCAAACACAGGAAACAGAATACTTTATTTGACTATCACACGTACATCTGACATTTCACATCTGTATCAAACTCAAGTCGGACAGATTAACTGCACCATATCAACAGATAATATCTCCCACAGATGACCTTTCACAGCTTGTTTCAGTAGATCAAATTGTTCTGAACAGCAAGATCAGTTGATAGCACTAAACATGGACCGTACTGCATTAAAATGATGGCAACATGCTGAACTAAAGTCGCCTTGAACAAACTAATGTCGGATGACTAAGGAACTATCCCAAACATGGCCTCATCAGATGTGTATTCTAGGGCCACGGTTCACAAAGCAATCTTAGAGGTAGGATTAATGAAAGCATATGTTAGTATAGAGGTTTTGACCCACCAAGTTCTACCATCAGTTTGTGAACCATCCAGTTGTTTACTCACACCCTCACAGACTTATAGAAGCTCATCAGACCAACAGGGATTACAATCTTGGAGAACCTCCTCATTTCAGTACCGTATTTCCTCTCATAAGCACTGGGGCCTCCAAGAAGCACTGGTGGTAAAGCAGTGGTTTAAGAAATAAACGCTGGGCCTCTAATAAGTCCTGGGAACATTCTTTACAGAAGTATTCTCCCTTCATTCAAAAATAGATTTATTAAGGAATGGTCCCTAACTTTGACGTAACACTCACTAACAATTAATTACAGTATACCCAGTAAGCGCTGGGTCTCCAATAAGCGCCTGGCCTCTAATCAGCGCAGGGTCTGGAAGTCCTTTGAAAAAATAAGCGACTGGGCGCTTATTAGAGGAAATTCAGTATATTCCACAGATCACACAAAGGCTGGGTCACTAACACAACTATGTTTCAGTCATCATTCATGTTGAGCTGATGCCTCATGTGGGTGATCTTTGACGTTCTTGTGGTTGATATAATATGCTGTTCATGTAGGTGATCTATGCCATTCTTGCCGTTGATCTATACCATCTATGTGGGTGATCTATACAGTGCACTCACTGTGCTTGTTTCATTCCTTGGCTAGCAAGTCCCATTTTGGGTAACCATGATTATCCAGAGTATCACATCTCCATTTTATTATCATAAACACCCTTGACCCAGTCACTACAAAAGAACCCAATTCAAATTACACATTACTAAACACAGATGTCCAATCAAATTATACCAAGTGAGAGAAAATCTGTTCTGTGATCAGATTGTTTGTTTTGTTGCTTAATGCGCCACTTAAGCAATATTCCAGCTATATGGTGGGTGATCAGACTCACCTACATGTTGACCTCACTTTCAAATGAACTTGTAGTAATAAATGGCCTGGGACATTTATCATACTAAAGTGGAGTTTTGATACACTGCATATCAGCGTCCTTGTGATACAGCTCTCCTCCTCAACACTGCCCTCCAGAACACAGTTTCATCGCTTGCTGTGGGGCAGCTTAAAGGGCTTGGCGCCTCGATGGGTTTGGAACTTGGTGTCCATCTCTGTCTTGTACATCTGATACAGCAGTTTCTCCTCCAGCTTCTCCACCGCTGCCAGAGTCAGGACCAGCGTCTCGTGCTTCAGCATACTGTACACGTTCAGCCCTGGACAGATAAACATACTGTACACGTTCAGCCCTGGACAGATAAACATACTGTTCACATTCATCCCTGTTTTTGAAACAGCTTCATCCGCTCAGGGCAACAATAGAGCCACAAGGTTCTGAACATGCTAAAATTTGACTGAAATATGCAAAACTAAAGGTTGTAAAGCTTTAATTTGATTAGAACTCTATGAGCAAATATTAACAACAATTGCTAAGACTGTCCACACAAACTTTCAGATTGATAAGCCTTGTTGTCTCAGAGCTTACTGTAGCAGGGGTATATGCAGGTCCAAGGTCACCATCAAAATGTCCTAAAACTTGCATGTTATTTATGTGAATCAGGTCCAGAGATAGTTACATTGGGTTATTGTACACAGGGGCTGTGGAAAGATTGTTTGAATAGTGTATCAAAAATGAAATACGTACTGCCTCACAACTTAGCTCACCTGACTAAAAGTTAAAGAGGTGCTGTCATTTAGATTTTCTATGTCTCCTTTGACACTACAAGACCTGAGGAGCTGAAACATTGTGAGTGTGATCCCAGCTTCAGTGTCACTACCACTCACAGAATTCCCATCCAATTTTGAACATGTCATTTTTGTCCATGAAACATCTATTTCTGACTATTTCTGGTCATGTCAGTTTGAAATTTGATATGGAGCAGGTATTTGGTATGCAGATGGTCATATAATAATATATTTGATCAAGCATTATAGCCAAAATGGATAGAATTATCATTAAAACGCCCGCACGTTATCAGAAATGAGCAGGTCACTGTAACTTGATAATGCCCGCAAAATGCTTGACGACGGGCCATTATTAATAACCTACGGCTCGTTTGAACTTGGGTTCATTATTGACAAAATTTCTGACTCTCATTCGTCACATGTACCTGTGCCTTTATGCACTTTCTTGCTGGTGCTAACCTCAGCAATTGTACCATAAATTTAAACATACAGCCATGAAAACATCGACAGGAATTCTAACGTTGTTGAGCACTGAAAAAAATGGCGGCTGGTAGTATGGGCAAAGGTCAAGGTAGAATGTCGTTACTCTCAATAGTGACGTCACCTGTTTTGTTCTATGACGTTTCCATAGTTGTAAAAGGTGTGTCAGTGACCTCCATCGTTTGTTGTTAGCAATAAATGCTTCAAAACCGATGCCGTTGTTTTTATTCTTATGTTATTAGAAATTCTACCCATTTTAGCTATAATAACGGTAACGCGATTTTTCAGGGCATTGTCATTTGCAGAAGCCCTCGGCCTTCTTCGTCGGGCAGTTAATGAAAGACCTCAGGCTTCTGAAAACGATAATGCCCTGAAAAATAGCATTACCCTTATAATAACCACAACAACCAAGAGAGTAATGCAATGTAGCCTTTGTCCATAGCTACCTGAGGACAACAAAATCATGTAGTTAGTGGGGATGAAAACCTAATAATGAATTTATTATGGCTTTAGTTTTGACATTTAAACACGTTAGCTGCTGTAAATCTCTGTACAGCAAAACTGACATGCAACTCACCATACACAGGCAACTCACCATACACAGGCATCACGTTGAACTGCGGAGTCTTGCTCAGAGCAACAGCTATATTCCGGGGCATGTAGTCCGTGCTGGAAACACACGCCATTGACATGAATCAGGTATTGGAGTTAATCAACACTTCATGACATAGCTTGACGTCTCTGTCATTGAACAACAAACTTCCATCATATTTTTGTTTGTTGTTTAATGTCGCCAGCAACCATATTCCATTCCACTGGGGTACAATGACACACAAGCAGACAAGTCACAGAACCCCCAATAACAATCTTAGTTGTTCCGCACTCATGTTTTAACATGGTGACAAATGATTACTGGATTAAGTCTAAAATATTACATACAGTTTGTGAGTGTGCGAAAAATGAACTTCTAGGAAACCAACAAGTACATTCTTTCATTTGATTTGGTAACAAGCATAATCTGATAATTGGCAACAATATATATTGATTTCTCTTCACATATAACACTTAAACCAGACATTCCGTCCCGAATTGGCAACAAATCTTATGTGACATTTTTTTCACTGCAAAAAAGGATGAAAAGAAAGGGAGAGGCTGCAATACATTTTATACTGCACTGAATGTAACTTTATAATACCTCTGAATTTTAGAAAATACTACCAACATTCAAATTTTCTATTTTGTAAAAAACATGTTTGTTTTTTAAATTTTCCCACCATGGGCACATGGTGTACATTTCTAGATAAATCCTGTTGTGAAATATAAAGAGGTTTGGCAACTTACTCATCCACGAAGAGAGCAGAGTATCCCCAAAACCGGTTTTCAACCAGGTCCTCTATATACTGCAGACAGAGAAACCACAATCAAACAGGATACAATACACTTTGAGGTGCCTGTGTAGTGTCCTACATTAAGTGTGAGAGTCCAGGGTCCTTCTCCTTACCCTGATGTTAACACCTGCAGATTCAAGGGTCCCTTGCATCACATACCATGGGAATGTGCTCTACAATCCCCTTAAATTCAAATACTTTTGCTTAAAAATATTGGAGTTCAAATCCTTTCCTTGTACAAGAGACTAAACATTGATATGTGAGGTGAGGTGAGGTGAAATTGGGTTAACGTCGTGCTTTAGAATATTTCGCTCATATGACGACGTGCATGCGTGTGTGTGTGTATGTGCGGCTGCTTGTACTAGCTCAGACTGAAGCTGGTTCTATAGTGCTAGCCCACTGAGATACCATGCCGCAGTGAAGCATGAATACCCCACTCAGACACATTATACTGACTCCGAGCCGACCAGTCCTTGTTGTACCCATTAATGCCGAGCGCCAGGCAGGGACCAACAAGTACCATATTTTAACGTCTTTTGGTATGATGCTTTTGGGGACCATTGATATGTAAAGGATGAAAGTGTAAATGATGAGGGTTTATAACTAAATACCAAGACATTTTCCCCTTCAATCAGAATCAGATATGTGTTCATCATGCTTTAATTTACTGTACTGATACATTCACTTTAACATAAACTGTGTCCAAAATTACCTTCGACACAAACATTATGCTGAATATGTAGATGACACCTTACTTTAATCAAGAAATGTTCATATAACATTTTTGTAACTATTACACCAAGATACTCACAGATGGATCATCAGTGGGGATGTCTAGGGAATCAACTATATGTAAGTCATTCTGGAAAAGAAACAAAATATTTATAGTCATTTCGATAAATTTCTGATATCTTTTTATTCTTAAAATCATGTTTATCAGCTTCTTTCCCATCAATATGATATTGATGATATACATACTTAATACAATAACTCTGATGACATATAAATTGTTATAAATTGTTGATGTGTTTAACAACATTCCACAAAGTTAACCTGTCTACAATTGACAATACATTTCCATTCATCTGTGCTTAGGTCACATTTACCGATTCGACTGTGTGTATTTGACAATATGTACCCACTCACCTGTGCTTACTTCACATTTTTCCACTCAGTTGGTCATATTTTACATACAGCTCACCTGTCCATACCTGACAATATCCATACCTGGACGACATGTTTCCACTCACCTGTCCATACCTGACAATATCCATACCTGGACGACACGTCTCCACTCACCTGTCCATACCCGACAATATCCATACCTGGACGACACGTCTCCACTCACCTGTCCATACCTGACAATATCCATACCTGGACGACACGTCTCCACTCACCTGTCCATCCATACCTGACAATATCCATACCTGGACGACACGTCTCCACTCACCTGTCCATACCTGACAAAATCCATACCTGGACGACACGTCTCCACTCACCTGTGCATACTTGACAGACAGCGCTACCCTGAGCCCCTGCACTCTCACAGCTGTAGGTAACATATAGAAATAACTCTTAGGACCCCGAGGTCCCATGGCTCTTCCACCTGCAAACATTAACAAGTTGGTTGACATCTCAACTGAGGTGTAAGGTTTTTAGGCAGGAGGAGTTACTTCCCTTTTACTGTTAAGCCAGATGAGCCAGTATATAAGTACAGATGCAGCTTTGAACAGGTGACACGATAATAAGTTACAGTTCACTTATCAGCTATTCTCTCATCACATACAAATAGGCACATTACATTTCCTGAGAGACTGGCCTACCCTGAAGGCGAGAGTCTGAGACTGAGAGAGAATGTAATGGATGATGTAACAAGAGGCTGGACAATGGTGAAAGCTGGCAGAGTACACGGGCCTCACCTGTCACCACCTACCAACGTTCTAGTTGCTCGGCTAGTCTATTACTAGTATAAGTGAAAAGACCAGTAACTTCACATAACCCACAGGTCTATGACCAAAGGTGTCTACAACTGTAAGAGGAAGTGTTTTACTCCAGCATCCCCATTGGTCTACTCACCTCCGACCCACAGTGGTGATCTGATGCTGCTATGTCTGGCTCTCCCTAGGCCCTTCTGTGGCCACGGACGCTTGCCGCCCCCCTGCACCTCCGCACGGGTCTTGGTCTTGGCATGTGACTAGTAACAACAAGCATACAACTAGGGAAAAAAGCCCATATATTAACACTGAAAAATGTCGAGACATAGTAATTTACAGTACTTCTACTGTAGCACACTCAAAAGTTTGGGGCACAGACTGTAGAAATAAAACTGAACTAAAAGTGTTGATTTTCAAACTTCGGTAGAAATACCCGACTTCAGAGCATGTTCTGTTGCCAGTAAGTAATGTTCCTGTCTGTGCAGTGTTGTCATGTGTATGGGCCTATCTGACTCATCAATAAAAGTTTAACATGTTTAAGAATGGGCTATTTCCCATGAGCGATACCATCCCTGTTGCTTACACTGACCGAAGCCAGAACATTGCATGTGTCAACCAGTAATCAGCAATAAGAGTTATTATGCATGAACACTCTACACTACAGAGGACTGGACTTCAGTATTATACTCACAATCCTCTTGTATGTTGTCTGCCAGTGGATGTTCTTGTGAAGCATGTCTAACCTGAAAACAAAGCAGAGCTGAATCAGGAAGAGAATGAGCAGGAATTGTGTCGAACATGTTAGCACATAGAAAGGGGTAGAAAATATACTGTGATGATAGTTCACACACTGCAATGGCTAGGAGCAGGAAGACCACTGTTCCACAGCTTGGGACATCAGGTTATAATGAACCTCTAACTGAGGTGAGGTGAAATTGGGTTTAACATAGTGCTTGAGAATATTTCGCTCATATGACGACGTGCATGTGTGCGTGTGTATGTGTATGTGCGGCTGCTTGTACTAGGCCAGTAAGCTGGTTTTATAGAGCTAGCCCACTGAGAAACCATGCCGCAGTGAAGCATGAATACCCCACTCAGACACATTATACTGACTCCGAGTCGACCAGTCCTTGTTGTACCCATTAATGCTGAGCGCCAGGCAGGGACCAACAAGTACCATATTTTAACATCATTTGGCATGACGCGGTTGGGGATCGAACCCGCAACCTTCCGCTCTCCTGGCGGACACTCTGACCACTACACCACGGAGGCGGTGCACCTCTAATTGAAGGTTTATATAATCTGATAACTATCAGATTATATAAACTTTCTAAACTATCAATTCTCATAATACTCCAGGTTAAGAATTGAAAAAAACAGCTACCTTGGATTTGTTGCAAATATTTCTGGATGAAGATCAATGACACCCAGCTTCTCATCTTCTACAGTATCCAGGGTCTCTAGCCAAGCCTGGTGTGATTTCATGTTTGGGTGGAGGTAGTCCACTTTGCGGGTTGTCATGACAGGCAGTGGACGACGGACACTTGGGGGTTGGATGGGCTGAACCTCTGGAACTGGAAAATATAGCTATTTACCAAGTGATGTATAGTGTGAAAACATGACAATGAATGGATGTTAAAATGATATGTCAGTGGGGATGCAAATCAACTTGCATCACTTACTAATCAGAATACTAAATGTGATAAAATAAAATGCATCAACATAATAAATTAAACACTACAAAGACTGTACCGGACAACGGGGCAAACCTTTAAAATTTGATAAACTGACTGGCAGTCACATGGTAGAGGGCGAGAGCTAACTCACAATCATCCTGAATTTCATGCTTTTAATTCAGTTGCAGAAACATGAGAACATGGTGTGGTTACATGATCATTTCACTACTGGATGAACCATGTATCATCCATGAGCAAGCTGAAATGATCATGTTATTAATAGACACTATTAGATACTTATCTTTTATATACAGTTTAAGCAAGACCAGCCTAAATCATCAGTGACAAAGGTCATATATCCTTGAAAATAGCATATATCCTTTAAAAATCAGCAGTCAAAACATACCTTGAGAGCCTTCTGGTTGCTCTGTCAGCTCCTGTAGTTTGTGTGATGTTGTTGAAAACGATCGAAGACAACATTTCTGGAAATACAACCATCCTGACCTTGATCATGTGTTATTCACTAATATGCATTCTCAGTTGTTGCATGTATAGTCTTTCGATGTCTTGCTGTCTTAATATTCTCATCTCGAAAGCAATATTAAATTAAGAATCGACATGATATATAACCATGAAACTATTTTAGAACTAACTTCAAGTTTGTAAACCAATGAGAAAGTGAATGCCATGATGGTGTAAATCAGAACAGTCAAAATAGAAATTTCTTTTCAACTATCCCAGTTAACAGTACAAGTTTTCACCATCATCTAAAGTTAAAAAATCATATTTTGTATAATCTCTGGTCTACTTATTTAATTAAATAATGAACAAGAGATGTTTTTATTGGATTGCCATCTGCCAAGAGGATGATTAAAACAATAAAGTGCAAGAATTTGGGATATAGCTAAAACGGCACCACAGCAGAACGGCACCAAAATCGTTTGGCGAAAATGGCACCGTATTGGCGAAAACGGCTACTGATTTCTGAGCTAAAACGGCAACATATACAAAACACAGTATGATGTTGACTTTTATGTTATAGTTTGTTTAATTATAACATTAGAATCAACATATATAAAACACAGTATGACGTTGACTTATGGTTTTTATTTCAACATTAGCAAGATTATAACACGTGATGTAGCTGGAATATTGCTAAAAGCGGCGTAAAATCATAACTCACTCACCCATTGCATTAAAATAACAAGACAACAAAAGCACCGTCAACATAACACATAACACATGTTCACACGTTTTATCGCATACAACACAGTGGAGAGACATTGTGATGAATGATATGTAATGTGTACATTCTTGCGTTTTAAATGCAGTTTCATTTTGACACTGAGTTTGGGCGATTTGAGTTGAGGAAATGTACTTAAAACATCAAAGGTTGTGATGTTTTCACGCTAAATTGGCAGGCTTTTCCAATCACTGCCGGCACAGTAGATGTTTTGACTATTGAAACATTCTACAAGCCGATTATCGGCGATGGATTTTCCAATAATTAAGATTTATTTGGTACCGTTTTAGCCATAAGATTTGTAGCCGTTTTCGCCAAGTCGAGGTTCCGTTATGTCCAAATGGTGCCGTTATAATCTCTGGTCTACTTATTTAATTAAATAATGAACAAGAGATGTTTTTTATTGGATTGCCATCTGCCAAGAGGATGATTAAAACAATAAAGTGCAAGAATTTGGGATATAGCTAAAAACGGCACCACAGCAGAACGGCACCAAAATCGTTTGGCGAAAATGGCACCGTGATTATGAAAACGGCTACTGATTTCTGAGCTAAAACGGCAACATATACAAAACACAGTATGATGTTGACTTTATGTTATAGTTTGTTTAATTATAACATTAGAATCAACATATATAAAACACAGCATGACGCTGACATTCTTGGCGCTTTTAAATGCAGTTTCATTTTGACACTGAGTTTGGGCGATTTGAGTTGAGAGAATGTACTTAAAACATCAAAGGTTGTGATGTTTTCACGCTAAATTGGCAGGCTTTTCCAATCACTGCCGGCACAGTAGATGTTTTGACTATTGAAACATTCTACAAGCCGATTATCGGCTATGGGATTTTCCCAATAATTAAGATTTATATGTCCAAATGGTGCCGTTTTCGCCTGGTGCCGTTTTGCTGTGGTGACGTTTTAGCCTGCACCCCAAGAATTCATATGCACTTCCATATGAGAAATCACAAGGTTTTGGATGAGTGAGTGAGTATGGTTTTACGCCGCTTTTCGCAATATTCCAGCAATATCACGGCGGGGGACACCAGAAATGGGCTTCACACATTGTGTCCATGTGGGGAATCAACCCGTGTTTCAACCACCAGGCTACCCCAAACGCCCAGTTTTTGGATGAGTTTGGTGTTGCAGTTTAAGATTTGTATGTTGAAAAGGTGCTGACTTAGGTTACAGTGTTTTAATGAAGAAATGGCAGACAGATTGTAAGCAATGACTGCACTAAATGTGCAATATCAGTTTGCTAAATACTCGTTTGCATTAACCAGTTATAGTTCTTGTCTAAAGTTCTATTTGAAGGTTCATAACTTTTAAACAAAATAGGCGAGGCCTTTCACTTTTACTGAGAAACTCACTTTGACCTTGTTCCTTGCAACTGTTTGTCGGATTAGCAATGACGACATCACTCTTGTGAGGCACGCCATTTGAGTTGTGTACATCTCCATTTTGTGTGTGATGAATTATGAAATGTCGATTTCAGTAAACTTGATCCAGAGGTCGCATGGTTGAAACAGGAAACTGCAAGAGTAGCCTGCCCTTAGTTTTCAAAACTGCAAATGCTAAATATTATCAAATATGGAATATGATTTACGTATATTTCAATTTGAGAATACTGAGAGATGTTTCAAAAGAAAACATTGATTAAAGGTGTACTATAATCTTTTCCATTATTTTGACGCATGTAAATGGAAGCACATGAAATCAATACATTTCTATTACACTGGGTTGAAATTTACATAAAACCAGTACTAAGGTCGACAGAAGTGACAGAAGAGGATATTTCCTGATTTCTGTTTACTGAATCCTCTTGAAATACATCGGAAATATATAGATACAGTAAGTTTAATGATGTACTCATTGATAATATCTCTTACACGTCATTATGATGTTAAATGCTCTTTACAAGAAATGGACATTGTCTAAAACTGAATATTTATACCCTGTTACGATAGTTTATGATGCTTAATATGCATGTCGTCGTAGGTAACAGTACTAACACTGATTAGGGGGCCCTAATTACCTCACAGTACCCTGTAGTTTCATTTGTAGGGGTGCATTAATGTGAATGTTGTTTGATAACGAAACTTCAGTTTTGTGTGTTGGCTGGTGAGCTAAATGGATGAGAAATTAAGTGTTTTCGAATTCACAGGTGTTCTATCCATGTTGACTTTTTGGGACTGATAATTTTAATGCTTTTTAACCTTTAATCAGCATGAAACCCCAGGCTTTCATAATATCTATGACACAATAAATGAATGTTTTAAGGACGTGAATGTTCCTCCTCAAATGATATAATGAATGTAGAATCACGTTCCTCTGGCATGGAAGAAATGTGATCATGTTTGAATCCAAAATTTGTCCAGCATCAGTTTCCAGGTTTGCGAACACCATGATCACATTCGTAATATTCATGAAATACTGTTGAAAGTGGTATTAAGCCTCAATCACTCACCAAAATCATCCACTCAACCAATGAATTATTATCCAGTAGGTCCTGGGGATCTTTGTGTAAGATGTCACCAGTGCCAGATGAGGACCCAGATAAGCAAGATTTTGAGGACATTGAGGACATGGATACTCCAAACTTGGTGATACCAGCTGTCATAGAGAACAGTGAGGACGAGGATGAGGACACTGTCCCCCAGGGATACCAGCCTCTGTCTCAGGGACCAGAGGACATGAATGGAAACAACTTTGATGAAGATTCTGACGATGACTCCGGAATGTCAGAAGGAGAGGAAACTGGTGGTCAGAATGTTGCCATGGCTTCTGGAATAGTACCAAGTGGACTCTATCCAAACTTTCCTGATGGAGACCTTCCATCATATTTGCAGGTAACTCAATTTAGATTATCAGGAGTATATTTGTTTACGGACAGTGCATAATTTATGGCTGAGGGAGGGTGATGGTGATTTTAAGGGGGGGTCACCCATTTTGTTCTGGGGAGCTAAGGGAGTTCAGCAATTTTGTACACACATACTAGGGGGTGGAGAGCAATTTTGTACATAAGAATATGTTAAAATTATGCTCAGAAATTATTAGGGGTGGGTATTGCAGAGAATTTTCATATTGCGATATATTGCGATGCAAAAGCATATATTGCGATATGTATTGCAATATTTTGCAAGAAGTTGTTTTTTTAACAATAAACTACTTATAATGGAGTTAACGCTTTATTTATAAAGCAAAAACACAACAAAATCACTACACTTGATTAAGCTGTAATAAAACTTTTAATCATGACAAAATAAGAACATAATAATATTTGGCACAAATGGAACAAGGAAAAGAATAATTTAACATCAACAGAATGGTTACTATAGTTTGGCATGAAATGCATGTGGACCCGTTTTTTGTAAATATCTCTTCATCCAATGACCCAATCGATCTCAAACTGTGCAAGTGGATGTTTTGTCAGACAACCTAATCACATTGTAAATCACCGATTTTATGCATTTGTATTAAAGAATCTGTCTATGTAACTGTCAACAAAATAAACAACAGACCGCAGACTGCTTGCAGAGGGAGGGAGCCAATGACCTGTAACAGTGGCAGTGTTGGGTCATAAGGTAAATGCACGTGCAGTTCATGATAGTTACCTGTGCACTGCACAGTGATAGACCATTTGGATCATTCACATTGATTACTTCTAGCTGTCATCATGATAGCTTATTCAGTTGATGCTAAACGTTTAATTAGAAATGTGTTGAATTTTTTTTAAAAAGAGAGCAAACGTAGCAAACCGATTTATAAGGTGTCGGATTACATGAAACGTACAACTTTTGCTCTTGGCATGAAAAAGAACATCGTGCTAAAAATTTTGAAAAATAAACCAACAACCAATAAACAAAACCTTGTACAAAAGGTAGGCATCCAAAGTTAGATTCTTTTGACATCAGGGTCATCAGAGATGTCATTCGCCGGCTATTTGCTAGAAATGAACACCTCTTCATACCTTTCACGTGCATAGCTGACCTACATTGATGAACGTTGACCTTTATGACCCAACACTGCCGCTGTTACAGGTCATTGGCTTCCTCCCTCTGCAAGCAGTCTGCGTTCTGCTGTTTATTTTGTTGACAGTTACATAGACAGATTCTTTAATACAAATGCATAAAATCAGCGATTTACAATGTGATTAGGTTGTCTGACAAAACATCCACTTGCACAGTTTGAGATCGATTGGGTCATTGGATGAAGAGATATTTACAAAAAAACGGGTCCACATGCATTTCATGCCAGACTATAGTTTGAACTACTTTCTCTACTCTCAAAAAAGCCCTGAGATTTTAGACAGCAACTTGACCTGGTCAGGACATATCAGGCATCATTGGTCATTAATGAATAAATATTTAAAACAATCTGAATCAAAACATTGCAAAACACTTGAACAAAAATTAAGAACACAACTTCAAACCGAACTTAACAATCCAGTTAAATGTAAATCTTTGAAGGGCATGTAAAAGTGGAATGCATAAGAAAAGCAAGATTTATGTATGTCAACTTTATTCACAATACAGAAATTGACATCCATAAATCTTGCTTTTCTCGGTTTAATGTAATTTTAACCACGCTCATTCCCACCACCATTACCATAGTTGCCAGTTCCGAGGGTTACAAAGTTTCCGAATGCATGTCAAAATACCGGTTTTCGATCAGCATATCGCAATACGTATCGTATTCACGTCTGAACCGATTGGTTATATTGCGTAGCCCTAGAAATTATGGGAAGTGGAGGGGGGTCATTGATTTTGTACATGGCATGCAGGGGGGTCACTTATTTTGTACATAAAATTTAGGGGGTGTCATTCACATTGTACATGCTTCTCCATAAAAATCATCATCACCCCCCCTAGCCATAAATTATGAACGGTCCCTTATGGAATGAATCTGGATGATTCAGAGTGAGTTTAGCAGGGTGTGGAGTAATCCTACAGGTGACATCCTTACCTTGTTAGCTTGCTAACAAGGTTATCCTCTTTGGTCATGTGGTCCAACTTCGCTTCAGGAGGTCTGTGGGTCAAATCCCAGCACGGGACTCGGATATTTTGTGGACACTACATGAGCATTATTTGAAAAAAATCAAAACCATGCAGAATTGACAAGATATCAGTTTGAGAGGTCTTTTATGTTCCCTTTTACTTGTTGTACTGGATAGTATAAATGTGATAAAGTGTACACCCAAGAATTACATATGCAGATTAAGAGTTAAAATACTGAATAAGTTATTTTATGAGAAGAATGACCTGTTTATTAGGACATAAAACTCACACCAAAAAGTGTAAACAAGTCTTTGCTTATGATGAAGGTCAACACTGCTTTTTCAGGTACCTGATCTTCCACGACCAGACAAGAGAGAGATGTTGTGGAACCAGCCACGACACACCAGTGCTGATGGAATGGATTCAGGCTAGTTGTGTTTATTTAATTTCAGTGTAGTGTCCCTTAGGCATGCAGGATTGACTGAACATTGATTTCAGTCTGAAGTTTGTCAGAATGATGTATTTCTTGACCAAGATATTTTATCAGGTGAAGTGACAGTTGACACCATGACGTTGACACGGAGTTATGACGTCATAGTGTCGACATCATAGTGTCAACTGTCACTTCACCTGATGAAGGGATCTGTAATGATCCTGAAACATTGTGTATGAAAGAATAAAGAAGCTTAAATCCATAAAATATCTTGGACATGTATAACAACTTCTAAATGCCTCTAAAAGACATCAATGTATTTCTTTTCCAGAACCATACCACTGGATATATGTTTAACACTAGGGCTGCACCGATTCAATTCGATTCATCGAAAATTGAATCTGACTCCTTAGTTTCAATTTTCGATAACCATTATCAATATTTCGATTCAACATTTGTTTAAAAAAGGTTACATCATTTTCATTCCTGATTTCCTAGTCAAATCTTGGAAAAGGTGTTCAGTGGGATATGTTTTGTTTAAGAAACTCTGGGAGTTAAATGAAATGTGATGTTTTTACTTGTATGAAGAATTGAATCGAAAATGATTATTTGCAATATCGATAATTGAAGCGAATTGAGGTCTGGGTGAATCGTTGCACCCCTATTTAACACATCATACTCATGTGGGATATCTGACTCAGGTCTTAGTTGTGACAAGTAACCACAAAGGTACTCCACTTTCTTCTTCTTGATTTTTGGTGCGGTGGGGTAGCCTAATGGTTAAAGCGTTGACTCGTCACGCCGAAGACCCGGGTTCGAATCCCCACATGGGCACAATGTGTGAAGCCCATTTCTGCTGTCCCCTGCCGTGATGTTGCTGGAATATTGCTAAAAGCGGTGTAAAACCAAACTCAGTCAGTCAGTCTTCTTGATTTTGATAAGAACGTCACAAGTAAAGGAAACAATATTCTCGCCTACAATTTGATTCCTTCTGCAAAATTTCTTGAATGTGAACTGGGGATCAAGCACAGTCAAGGCCCAACTGTTCACAATGCAGTACATCCTTTAGGGATTCCAGTTTTGAATGGGTCCCCAGGATCATGTGCTAGTGCTAAGAGGCAACCCAATGAATCAGGACGTCAGGCTCTGTGATGTGCTCAATAGCATGTCATCGTACCCCAGTGGCAAGAAGTGTTGTCCAATCATTACTCCATTGGTCATTTATGGACACACTCCATTTAATTGTGCTGGTGATTAGGTGCCTGAAACTGAGGGTGTGGGTTTGAATCCCGGATGGAACTCATCGCAAATGAATACCATAATCTGCACTTCACTGAGAAAGTGTAATCCGAAATATAACATGTGTTACACACCCCATTAGGGCTGGGACGGGTACTCGAATCTGGGTTGGGTACAGCCGGAATCGAGTCCTATTTCTTGGAATCAAGTACCCAGGAAGGGAGGGAACTCTGTAATGACTCTCATTTACATCATTGGTGTTGTCGGATTAATGATATGAAGGTTATTATTATCGACTGTAATTTATCTGCGCATGAGCAGTGAGTAGTGAAAGTAACAGTAACAGCGGGTACGAAAAGTCCTGTGTTTTAACGATGAATGTAGGTAATGGTGTTACTCTTTAGATTGGTTTAACAGACGTAAATTAAACAGCCTAAGATCTGTTTTAATGTCTTATTGCCATCCTTTTGAGTTTTCTATAATAATCTCTGTCAACTCGTGATTGAATATTCAGAAAGTTGACAGAAGCGTTGTGTTCCTTACATTTCCGGGTACTCGATTCCGATTCGGGTAAGTACATGCGGGTACTCGATTCCACTTTTTCCTACCCGTCCCAGCCCTACACCCCATATAGCTTGATTAATGCTAAGTGTGGTATTAAACAACAAACAAATGAAAACAAACAGTGCATCTCACCTGCTTAAGAAATACAATTTATTGGGCTACAGTTTTTGTTCAAGCATGATACATGTATTTGTATCAGTGTCATGAATATGTTGGTCATTGTACTGTTCCTCTTGCAGGTCAAGCAGCTGCTGTTAAGAATGCAATGAAGGGATTTGAACTTCCTGGATGTAGCATACCTGACTGGGCCAAAAATGTATCCGAGGACAAATGGAAAGAGCAGCTCCTGTCTCGCCTGTCAACAGGTGGCCCACGAGACAACATCTTCTCAGCATCTCTTGCTTCCAGCAGTGAGATGTCATCACAGAGCTCTGAAAGCAGCCTCAGTGAAGCAGAGAAGGAAATTGGCTGAGAACAAGCCAAAGTCTTGTTAAATGAAGGGATAATGTGCGTGAATCTGAAAGAAACTGTTCATGGTAAAGTTTGTCCAAATCCTATTCAGCAAAAGGCCAGTCACTTTCAACTCATTCACTCACTCTGTAACCACTTTCTCGAAATAAGATGATGAATGTTAAATTTAGAATGGCAATATTGGGTATTTGAATATCCCACCACACATTTTATATTTTTTTTAGAGAAACAAATACATTAGCTGAGGCAGAAAATGAAAAAATATTGTAACGCCTCTGGCACCATCAAACAACCTGTAGTGGCGTACAAAGAATGGGTGTTTGTATTCTTGCAGTACATCTATGTGAGGTAGGGCAGAGCCCCTCAGACACTACCAGGGGAAGGCAGCAAAGTCAGTCTGACACTTGGCCAGGAGATGGGCTCCCTTTCAACAATATTTTACAAATATGATGTACATAACAACATTTATGTTGAAACGGTATTGATGTATTTGGAGACATTTGTCCTTTTCAATCATCAAGTCAGTTCTCATCTTTAACCTTCCATTGTTTTCAGTTTCTTTCTTATTGTTTCATATTTAACACCTCTGTAATGAAACTTTGTGAAGTGGCTTCATGGGAAGAAAAGAATTTGTCACAGAAGATCTACCTGTGGCTCTGAAACTTGCATGTAGTTCACCATTCACTTAAGTTTGGGGAAAGGCACTACCACAAAGGAACCATATTTTAGGTGTTTTTAATTTAAAGAGGACAAAGCTGTTCTTAAGTCTGTGATATTATGTTTAGAGGGCCATTTATGTCTGAATTGAGTATGTAGATTTGTGGATTGTCATACGGGAGGGATTCAGTGTGTACATTTGTAAATATTCTATCATTGTATTATGAAATAAAAACAATGCAAAACGTTCTTCTGATTTATGTCATTAATTACTGAATTATGATTTGTGTTGTTTGTTGGAGTCTTGCACTGAGTGAGTGAATAGTTCAAGTGTGATTCAGTAATTTTTCAACTATTAACCATTAAGCAAATAGTCCTTTCCATCCAAATGCTGACACGAATCCTCCATCCAGACATTGAGGTTCCCACCCCCTTTCTCTACCCCGAGAACAATTTACCCCTAACCCTTTGTATTCATGACTTATGTGTGCACATGTACACAGGCAGTAGTGGTGGTACGATTAATTGAAATAATCGAAGATTGGTCGCAGTGACTAAACGACCAAGGAATCTATCATGTTTTCTCATAATCGAACACAACCAATTCTGTTGGAACACTTGTTTGCGTTAACAATATTTTTCATAAGGTTGGTTTTGTCTGTTACATTTTATGAGCACTACAAGGTTGGTCCACATCATGATTGAATTTATCTTAAAGACTCCAAGAAATTAATGTTCCTAATATACTAGTCATCCTTTAAAGATGTGAAATTTGCAAATGCATTTTGTGCAATTTGCAATACCCCAAAGAACTACATGCTTTTATCTTTATTCTTTTTGTGCATGAACAAACATAATCAGTAAAATTTCATAAATGATGCTAACCGATTATTTTCGATGATTGATCGGTTGTAATGAACCAATCATCAATTATGAGATTTTAACCAATTCCCCGCACTAGCAGGCAGGCAGGCAGGCACGCACGCACGCACACACACACACGTTTTTCTCCCAAATCCTGGATCCCAGTTGCGTAGATCGATGTTCATGCTGTTGATCACTGGATTGTCTGGTTCAGATTAGTTTATTCACAGACCACAGCCATATAGCTGTAATATTGCTGAGTGTGGTGTAAAACTAAACTCACTCAGACAATGACCAAGGGCCACTCTTTTCTCCAGACACAGAAAAAAGTCAACCTTTCATCCTGACCAAGACATTATCCAAGAGAATTGAACTGATAAAGAGTCATTTGCCGTCCAGAAATCACCCCTTAGCCCATTTTCCCACCAGACACTGTCCCAGAAAAACATCCTCCCTCCAGACATTTACCTTGATTCCATCTTCCTATTGCCTCAAGACATTGACCCGAGTTCATCATCCTGAAGACATCGAACAATAGTCCATGTTTCATCAAAATATAGACCAAGAATCCATCTCCCCTTCAGGCATTGATAGATCAATCTTCCGAGATGCCTGGTGGAACCGTGGAGTTCTTCCATGTATCCAGCATAACAAAAAGCTCCTGAGAATAACAAGCCGTATCATGTGGAAACAATAGCGAAATATACTACGTTATGGCAATGGTAGTCTGTGGAGAACTGCTCCACGCATACAACAGTTACCTGAACTTGCTTGAGGATATTGATTGTATGACATCCTACTCATATTCACGTGTAGGTCAGTCAGTAGCAGTCATCTATGCAGAGTCAACTGCAAAAGAAATGGTTGGTCCGAGACATCAATACTGAGCATTACTGTGTTTACCGTTATAAAACTAACCTATTTCCAAAATTATATCTATCCCTAATAGTCAGTATCGAAATCTCTGCACTTCTACACAGCAGACGCAGGACAGGGGCGGATACAGCTTTTTGAGAAGGGGAGAGTGTGCGCATCTTCACCCCGTTTTTACAAGAGATTCAATGGTCATTTAATAAACTTTTAGGATAAAGGGGGGAGGCGCAGACAGGTGACACTATCCAGAACGGGAAAACAATTGGCTGCAGACAGATGACACTGTCCAGGACAGGAAAACAATTGGCTGCAGACAGGTGACACTGTCCAGGACAGGAAAACAATTGGCTGCAGACAGGTGACATTGTCCAGGACAGGAAAACAATTGGCTGCAGACAGGTGACACTGTCCAGGACAGGAAAACAATTGGCTGCAGACAGGCGACACTGTCCAGGAAAACATTTGGCTACAGACAGGTGACACTGTCCAGGACGGGAAAACAATTGGCTGCAGACAGGCGACACTGTCCAGGATGGGAAAACAATTGGCTGCAGACAGGTGACACTGTCCAGGACAGGAAAACAATTGGCTGCAGACAGGTGACACTGTCCAGGATGGGAAAACAATTGGCTGCAGACAGGTGACACTGTCCAGGACAGGAAAACAATTGGCTGCAGACAGGTGACACTGTCCAGGACGGGAAAACAATTGGCTGCAGACAGGTGACACTGTCCAGGATGGGAAAACAATTGGCTGCAGACAGGTGACATTGTCCAGGAAGGAAAACAATTGGCTGCAGACAGGTGACACTGTCCAGGATGGGAAAACAATTGGCTGCAGACAGGTGACACTGTCCAGGACAGGAAAACAATTGGCTGCAGACAGGTGACACTGTCCAGGAAAACAATTGGCTACAGACAGGTGACACTGTCCAGGACGGGAAAACAATTGGCTGCAGACAGGCGACACTGTCCAGGATGGGAAAACAATTGGCTACAGACAGGTGACACTGTCCAGAACGGCAAAACAATTGGCTGCAGACAGGCGACACTGTCCAGGATGGGAAAACAATTGGCTGCAGACACGTGACATTGTCCAGGACAGGAAAACAATTGACTGCAGACAGGTGACACTGTCCAGGACAGGAAAACAATTGGCTGCAGACAGGCGACACTGTCCAGGAAAACAATTGGCTACAGACAGGTGACACTGTACAGGACGGGAAAACAATTGGCTGCAGACAGGTGACACTGTCCAGGAAAACAATTGGCTACAGACAGGTGACACTGTCCAGGACGGGAAAACAGTTGGCTACAGACAGGTGACACTGTCCAGAACGGCAAAACAATTGGCAGCAGACAGGTGACACTATCCTGGACGGCAAAACAATTGGCTGCAGACAGGTGACACTGTCCAGGATGGGAAAACAATTGACCGCAGACAGGTGACACTGTCTAGGACAGGAAAACAATTGGCTGCAGACAGGTGACACTGTCCAGGATGGAAAAACAATTGGCTGCAGACAGGTGACACTGTCCAGGACAGGAAAACAATTGGCTACAGACAGACAACACTGTCCAGAAAAACAATTGGCTACAGACATGTGACACTGTACAGGACAGGAAAACAATTGGCTGCAGACAGGCGACACTGTCCAGGAAAACAATTGGCTACAGACAGGTGACACTGTCCAGGACGGGAAAACAGTTGGCTACAGACATGTGACACTGTCCAGGACAGGAAAACAATTGGCTGCAGACAGGTGACACTGTCCAGGATGGAAAAACAATTGGCTACAGACAGGTGACACTGTCCAGGATGGGAAAACAATTGGCTGCAGACAGGTGACATTGTCCAGGACAGGAAAACAATTGACTGCAGACAGGTGACACTGTCCAGGACGGGAAAACAATTGGCTGCAGACAGGTGACACTGTCCAGGACGGGAAAACAATTGGCTGCAGACAGGCGACACTGTCCAGGACAAGAAAACAATCGGCTGCAGACAGGTGACACTGTCCAGGATGGAAAAACAATTGGCTGCAGACAGGTGACATTGTCCAGGACAAGAAAACAATTGACTGCAGACAGGGGACACTGTCCAGGACAGGAAAACAATTGGCTGCAGACAGGTGACACTGTCCAGGAAAACAATGGGCTACAGACAGGTGACACTGTCCAGAACGGCAAAACAATTGGCTGCAGACAGGCGACACTGTCCAGGAAAACAATTGGTTACAGACAGGTGACACTGTCCAGAACGGCAAAACAATTGGCTGCAGACAGGTGACACTGTCCAGGATGGAAAACCAATTGGCTGCAGACACGTGACATTGTCCAGGACAGGAAAACAATTGACTGCAGACAGGTGACACTGTCCAGGACAGGAAAACAATTGGCTACAGACAGGCGACACTGTCCAGGAAAACAATTGGCTACAGACAGGTGACACTGTACAGGACGGGAAAACAATTGGCTGCAGACGGGTGACACTGTCCAGGAAAACAATTGGCTACAGACACGGACACTGTCCAGGACGGGAAAACAGTTGGCTATAGACAGGTGACACTGTCCAGGACAGGAAAACAGTTGGCTACAGACAGGTGATACTGTCCAGGATAGGAAAACAGTTGTCTACAGACAGGTGACACTGTCCAGAACGGCAAAACAATTGGCAGCAGACAGGTGACACTATCCTGGACGGTAAAACAATTGGCTGCAGACAGGTGACACTGTCCAGGATGGGAAAACAATTGACCGCAGACAGGTGACACTGTCTAGGACAGGAAAACAATTGGCTGCAGACAGGTGACACTGTCCAGGATGGAAAAACAATTGGCTGCAGACAGGTGACACTGTCCAGGACAGGAAAACAATTGGCTACAGACAGACAACACTGTCCAGAAAAACAATTGGCTACAGACATGTGACACTGTACAGGACGGGAAAACAATTGGCTGCAGACAGGCGACACTGTCCAGGAAAACAATTGGCTACAGACAGGTGACACTGTCCAGGACGGGAAAACAGTTGGCTACAGACATGTGACACTGTCCAGGACAGGAAAACAATTGGCTGCAGACAGGTGACACTGTCCAGGATGGAAAAACAATTGGCTACAGACAGGTGACACTGTCCAGGATGGGAAAACAATTGGCTGCAGACAGGTGACATTGTCCTGGACAGGAAAACAATTGACTGCAGACAGGTGACATTGTCCAGGACGGGAAAACAATTGGCTGCAGACAGGTGACACTGTCCAGGACGGGAAAACAATTGGCTGCAGACAGGCGACACTGTCCAGGACAAGAAAACAATCGGCTGCAGACAGGTGACACTGTCCAGGATGGAAAAACAATTGGCTGCAGACAGGTGACATTGTCCAGGACAAGAAAACAATTGACTGCAGACAGGGGACACTGTCCAGGACAGGAAAACAATTGGCTGCAGACAGGTGACACTGTCCAGGAAAACAATGGGCTACAGACAGGTGACACTGTCCAGAACGGCAAA